GTTCAAGTCAAACGATTCCTTATTGTTCTTCTTGAACAATTTTTTTATCGTTTAAGGCAAACAATTCTTTATTGTTCTTCTTAAACGATTTTTTTATCGTTCAAGTCGAATAATTCCTTATCATTCTTCTTGAACAATTCCTTATCATTCAAGTTGAATGATTCCTTATCGTTCAAGTCAACTCGAGTCAACTCGAATCAAGTCAAGTTTAAATCGAGTCAAGTTAAATATTTAACTCAACTCAAATTTGGCTTGACTCACAAATTATCAAGTCAAAAAAACACCAACTCGACTTGATTTGAACTTGACTCAGCTTATCTGACTCGTGAGTTAACTCGACTCATCTGGAACTCAACTTATAACTATTTGAAAAAAAAAATTAGTATATTTTTTTATGCATTTTATCAAAAATTATAGTCAATAGAATTACATTAATTTGAGTAATAAAGATCACGTGATCTAATACTTTTGATCAAAAAGTATACATATTCTTTTGTATTTTTTTTTTAAAAAAAAAAAATCTATAGGCTATTATTAGTTTGCAAATCTCTTAATAATCCTATTTACCAATTCTGTCTTTTGCTAACTTACCTTTTTAATTAAATAATTATTTTAAAATTCTAAAAAAAAAAAATTTTACTTTAGATAAAAAAAATTGTTAACTATTTTATAAAAATAATATATATATATATAAATAATATAAGTAATAATAGAAAAATTTTATTTGATTTTTAATAGTATTATTACAGTCAGTTTTTTAAAAGGCTTATGAGTAATAAGTGAAGCAATATTTATATATAGTAAGCAGAAGGTTTAATTTGATAATTAGATTTAGAAGAATGTTGGTAAATTAACAATTTAACAATTTATTTAATAACTATAATAATGGAATACTGCCTCAGTCAACACTTTATACTATACAATTATGTTAGAGAAATTAAACTAAACTATTATATAAAACTATAAATTAGAAATACCGTTAAGCTAAAAGAAATTGTTCTCTATTTATATAAAATGAAAAATATAAAGTTATCAAAGATATAAAAGAAATAAATATAATAAATAAAATATATGAAATAAATAAAATATAATAAATATATGAGATAAATAAAATAAAATAAATAAAAGAAATATATTGTATAAAAGAAATATATGCTATAGATGATATAGATGACATAAATGATATATATGATTTCTTAGGAATTGTCATCATCCTTTAGATCATCATTATTCATGTCTTCTTTTTGTAATAATATATTGAATTCTATTCTATTTTAATGTCTAAAATAAGATTTAATAATTTGATTTGTATGATTCATAATACTGTAAATTTGTCTCTCTGTTGGAGTGATGCTCAAATTTTAACTATTAATTTTTGTAATTTTAGAATTATTTTCTTACAATTTTGAGGATTTTTATTTATTAAAATATTATTTTTATTCTGAGATTTATCAGCTTTTACATATTTTAACATTTCTTATGTTATTAAATTTATAATATGAACTAAATATCTAACATTATTTTTTTATGATTAAAAGTAATTTCATTCTTTTCATAATAATATTTAAGATTTTTTAAAAAATTTCTATTATTTAAATTATTATTCGCTATAATAGTTAATATCTAATTAAATTTATTTAAATTTAAATTTATTTTAAAAATAGAAAAAAAATAAAAAATATAAAAATATTATTTTATTCAAAATGTTAAAATCATTTTTAATATAACTTAAAAGCTCTTTTAATAAATTTTCACTAGAATAAAGTCCTGAAATATAAATAAAATTAATAAGTATATTATAAAGATTCTAATGATTATCAATAAAATAATATGTTATTTTTAAGAATGCGATAATATTTGTTGATATCTAACAATTTAATGTAAAACTTAATTTTCTGAAATATTCTTTTTAATTAAAATAAATATAGCAAGTATTTTATGTTATAATTATATATTTAATTGTATATTTAATTTTAAAATTTTAAAAAAACCTGTAATTTATTTTTTATGCTTATTTGATAATTCTTATATAACTTTAAAATGTTATTTTGAATTATATATACTAATAGAATAATAATATTTGAATTGCATAATTTTAATAATTCTTAAAATTCAGGATACTTAACTAAAATAAATAGCTGATCGTCAATAGAAATCCAAATCGCTAATTATTTTTGAAAAGTTTTATTACTAAATACAATCTATAAAAAGATTAATTTTATAAATAATAAAAATATAATATAAAATGTAATATATAATATATTTACAATTTCTTTATTATTATTTAAAAATTTTTTATGAATAATACATATGTTTTAACTATAGGATTAATTTTATTTATGTGATTTTTTAAATATTTATTTAGATTTTCTATACTTTCATTAGTTTTTTCTATACATTTTAAATTTTATATTACTATTATTTATAATAATAATAATAAATATATAAAATTTATTAGAAAAAAATTATATTTATTATAATATAAATTATATTTACCTGTAATATTTATACTTTACTTATTTTTTATCATGTTTATCTATAAATTTTTCAAAATGTTTTTAGAAAAAATTTCTTTTAAATTTTTTATTATTTTCTTTTAATATATTATCTTTTCTTTTTAAAATTTTATCATTTTTTTCAATAATAATTTCTTTTGTAAATTATCTTCAAGATTATCTATTTTATTATCATTATTATCAATTAAATTATTATCTATTCCTTTATTCTATATTTTTTTATCATTAATTTTTTGTTCTATATTTCTTCATTATTTATTTTAATTATATCTTTATTATAACAAATACATTTTAAATTTAAAGAATTATATTCAGAATTGTTTTGCTTTTATTTTATTTTTAAAAAAATTTTTACATTAAGCTATAATAATTTTTTATATTAATTAAGTAATATTTATGTTACATGATAGTTATCTTGATTTTAATAATTGATAATCAATTAATATTTTTAGGTTAATTAGGTTAATTAAGTTAGATTAACCTTTACCTGATCTGAATTTTATCTACCTGTTCAGAATTTTAAGTATATTACATAAAAGATTAATATTACACAAATAAAAGAATGGATAATTTATATGTTTTACATAACTTATAAAAATAAAATTTATATTATCTTTATATTTAAGTTAGTTTAAATTTTATTTAAATAAGTAAATATCAACTATTTTCTAGAAAATATAAAAACAGTAATAGTTTTATTATTAATACTATAAAGATTGATAAAAAATACATTATCTAAGTATAAAATCTGATAAATTAATTTTAACAACTTAAAAATTTTTAATTTTGGCAGTTATTTGTAATATTCTAATTTTATTAAATTAAATTAAATAATAAAATCAAACAAATCTACTAATTAAATAATTTAAATCTTATTTATATTATTTATAAAACTTACAAAGATTGTATTTTATAGCTAATAAAAATTCATAATTAAATAAAATTTAATTTGTTTTTTTCAAATATTTAAGAATATTTTGACAATTTTAATAATAAAATTATACTATTCTCTAAAAATATTATTAACATTAACAATAACATTTTTTTTTATAATCAGTTAAATAATATTAACTTGTATTTTAAAAATGTTTATTATATATAATTAAATTAAAGATTCTTCTATTAATAAATAAAAAGCTTTAAAATATAAATTATTTTTATTAAATTTTAATTTAGACAATTAGATTTTAGTAAAAGTATATTTTTAAATAATTTTTTTTTTTTCTAAAAATTGGTTATAATCTACTATATTAAATAAAGTCTATAAAATAAGGTTTACTATAAAGGTTTCATATGATTATTTGATTAGCCAATCAAAATAAAAAATAAAATTTTCTTATTAACGTTGTTGTAGGTGGTCCGCCAATCAATTTGTTTACAGTAATTATTAAATATAATAAGATTTGCTGAAAATTACACTATATTTAGTAATTATTGTAAACAAATTGATTGCGCCGATATTATAAATTACTTTCCACAAAACTTTTCTTTTACACACTTTCATTTTCAAGTCTTCAAGTCTTCAAGCCCTCATTTTATTTTACTTTTTTTGAATTTCTTTCAACTCTTTCAATTCTTTTTTAACTTTTAATAAATATATATCGTAGCTATAAAGAAGTGTCTGCTATAAAGTAAGTTTTCATGCTGAATGTTTAATACAAACGATATATAATTAGTTTAGAAGAGTACTTGTTTCTTGGTGGATATCCTCTTGACCTGCTTGTAAAATTCTCTGCGTCCATTGTTCACTTTTGAAGTGAAAGTACTATTCTACTTATGATATATTTAGTATTTTATTTCTAACCAAATTTATTTATTTTTTTTTTTTATTTTATTATTTTATTATTATTTTTTTTTTAAGGAATTACTTATAAGGATATGGTCTACGTCAAGAACATGACTGCGCCAAATTGCAAAGCTTTGCAAAATGTAAAAGTAAAAGCGCCCAATACAGGCAGTATTGAGGCGCAAATTAATCAAAAATGTCCAATACGATTTGCGGATGTGTCTCCACCCGTAAATACGCGTAAAGAAAACGAGGAGGAAAGAGGCTCGAGAATAAGGAACCTACGCATTGATATGGTGGGATATGGTCAAAAACCCATTGGTTCAACTCGAACTCTTCTTAATAAGAGAAGAAAAATGGAGAAATGATTTGGTGGGTTTTAATTTATTACTTGAAATTATTATATTATTAATATGAATGCTTGTCTAACATTGTAGTGACATTTCTCTTTTTTTCACAGACTCCAAATATTCTTTTTTTTTTTTTGTTTCTTCAAAAAACTCTTGTGATTTCAGAGTAAATTTAATAATAAATTGACAACACGCGTTTATTTACCTGGTGATTTTTGATAGAAAAATCAATATTTTCCTCCGGATTTTGCTTCCAAAATAAATTAGTTGTAATATTCTTAATGCTTAAATTTTGATTATATTATTCGTTTATCTCCATAAAATAATTTAAATTACATATTTTATATTGTGCGATCCCACTCATTTTTAAATGACCAACTTCAAATTAATATTCCTTTTAATTTCACAGAGAAAATGTCATTAAAGTTTATTCATTTTCGTTGGCTATATAACTTTTTCCGTTAAATCAAAAGACATCATTATACAGTATCTATCGAAACATCAACAAATAAAAGCTACTTACATGTGATAATACAAATAACTTTCTAAACCGATGAGTAATTTAGCAAATATGTACCTTACTTTTTTATTGTTTTTCTCTATTTCATAATATGTTTGCAAATGGATCTTCATAATTGATATTTTCCAAAAAAAAGGATCTTTTCCTTCATCTGAGTATTAACTATTAATTTCCTTAGGTGAGTGCCCGAATTTAATTAGTCTCTATTGAATCCCAAAGATTTTAATGAATTTATTTTCTTGTATATCGGCATTCTTCCATTTCGGATTGGCTATCTTAAACCCACAACGGATGACCCTTTTCCAAGAATAATAATTAAAAGAGCGTTCAAAGTAAAGAATCATGGATTTATTAGTTTCTTGAAGTACTAATTCAGGAATAATCTCTATACTCGTTTTCATAATTAGTAGTCAATCATAAAGGCATATTCACATGTTTGAACGTATCTCTCAAATCCTATTTCAAATTCACCTTTCCTAGCAGATGACCTAAAGTATGAAATTTTAATGTCAATTTCATTAAAGTGGTAATGGAAAATTGTATTTTATATACGAATTGTTTCACTAACAATATTCTAACATCATCTTAAAAGACGCGCCAATCATACTAGGTACATAATTTTTATGACCTAATGTGTCTATCGACGCTTAACTGTCTCAAAATAAGCACGCTCACATTCTACTGATTTCCCTGTAAAATAAATGTCAATTGGAGATAATAATAAAAAAATATTGAAATAAGTAAAATAAATGCATTTGCATATTATTCTTTATTTGTATCAAACGCCCATAATAAATACCATGCCCATCTTTGTTTTTTAGCTTCATATTCGTATTTATCTGACCAAACCGATGGAGTGAGTTTCGGGTTGCTCTCGGTGGTTCAATAATAACAGTTGTGATGGTGATTGTTCGAGGAAGGAAAAAAGAATTACCATTCCTACCAAAACCTTTTTCATATAAAATGTAAAATTTAGTATATACAGAAATAAATTGATGACCGTTTCTCGGAATGATACTCACAGGTATTACCGCATATAGTGTATCTAATTACAAATTGAAATATATAATCGTAAATATTCCTTTGGATATAAAGATCAAAGAGCAACAAATGGAATTTAAAATTATAATACTAACCTACATGTCCGATAAAGTTGAATTGCTCTTTCCATATAATTCCTCAATACATAGGCTCCGCCTTTTTCGTATTCTCATTAGAAGTTTCGCTATATTCTCTTCTAGCATAAATAATGATCAAGTATATTCGTAAAGATAAAGAGCACGATGAAATGTCGATTAGTACATGACACAGCATGTTGATCCGTACACATCTTTGAAAATTTTCATCAAGCTTTGAATTGCTAAAATTACATTATACTTACGTCTCTCAACCATGTCAATTTTTTTTGAAGAATCCGCGGAAAGTTAGAATTTTTACGTCATTACAACACAATACTACTCGACAACAACGTTAGTAGCATTCTTGACTATATTGAAAGAATCCTCAGCGACAGATTTTGATGCTCCATTAGTAGAACAGCCTCTAAATTCAGCAAAATATTTGCTGGTAAGAGTATTAAAAAAGATCTTCATTTTCTGATATTTGGTAATTGAGTTTTACCCCACCTTTTCTATTTCTATTTACAGTTAGTTTAGTTTCTCGATTCAAAATGAATTTACAAAACTTTCCGATAAGTTTCATCTCTGAACAAAATCCGCTAAATCTTTGTTTGAATTATTTTTATTCAAAAGAAATTAAATAAGCAATTTTATCTCAGCACGAGATAGATCAAAATATTTACGCTGTATATTAAT